TATTCATACATTAATCAATTTAAAATTAAAAAAAAAAGAAAAATATGGGACCAATAAATGCCACGTAAGCAACTAATAGAGAGATCTGACGGAAGCCCTAACGGCGAAATCACATTGTAATAAATTTAAAAGATCGGGGGTATGTGATTGTAAAAATTGAAAAGATATGATAGACTATCATATCTTAAGGGTGTAACTACATGGTACTAAATTGTAAGTAATCCTAGTTTTTATGTATAACACCAACTAGACTATACAACTTACAAGAGGCCCTCACGTGGCTTCCAAACCAAAAAGTAATTAAAAAAAACCAAACCCTAACATCATCCTAGCCGCACCACTGTCATCGCTGCAGTACTAGATCTGCCATGATTCCACCATTGACAAACGTCTATAGATCCAATAAGGCTTTTCTCTTTTGTTGGTTCCTCATGTCCTGGAAATCCCAAGTTTATTTGAGGCGATATGACACTACGATGTGATGGACAAGATGATAGATAAGATGATCATATTACTTCTTCCAAATTGGGTGTGAGTGTGACAGAGGATTTGCCCCAAATTTGGGTGAAAAAACCTCCCCTCTTTCCTTGATCAAGTTCATGATAAGTGACGATATACAAAGTTTAAGGGCCACACCCACAATGAACGGGACTTGAAATTTTAGGATAAAGTCAATTCTACCTTTTTTTTTTTTTTTGAAATTAGATTTATATTCTTTGTTCACTTGCCTAGCTTGGTGGTTATTATATGGCTCCTTGTGATAAAGTGTATTATGGTGTGCCAAGAGTATTTTTGGTAGTTAAATAGGGTGAACTTAATTAATTTTACATTTTGATTTTAATATTAAGGTGTACTTAGATCATATGGTGTGCTCAGTTAATTTTAGGGTTCGTTTAGCAACGCTCAATAGAAATCCTAACCTAAATAAAATAGAAAACTTATACAGTGACCCATGAAAATAGAGTGCTGTTATTTATACTCGTTATACTATTACCTCATCTATTTTATCTTTAAAATTTTGAAGACAAATTTATTCTTTTATAAAATGACTTCTAAGATCATGGAAAAAACCCAGTATTCATAAAACGTCTTATTTTGTTTAACCTTTGCCTGCACTGTCGTGCCCTTTTCCGAGGCTTCAAATTCTCATACAATATCTACTTGATCGATCAAACATAATTTAATATCAAAGGCTGGCATAAGATGATTGGAGATGAATCAAATTAACTGCGGGCATAAATTAGTCTCTAATGGGTCAAGGGGGGAAACCAATCTAAAACCTTGAACATATTGGGCCGCACCAGAATCTAATCACTCAAAACACCTACAACTTTTTAGACTGAAAATAACTTACCTCTGATTCCTTCAATACATCACTTTGAAAGATACTACAAGACAAGTCAAAGATGGATGATCAAAGGCTTGACGAACATAATCAACATGATCAGTTTCCTGGAAAATAAGATAAAAACCCAGTACAGTAACCATTTGTAACTTTCATACAGCCCCGAATGGAAGGAGACATCATCTTCACAGAACCACATACCATTAGTACACTGTTTTCTCTTTCGTCTGGAAGTGATGAAATCAGGCAAAGAAACACAGCCCATGCTAGAATTAATGGGCCTGCTTCTTTTGTCTAAGGCAATGAAAGTTTAAATCTCTTGGACATCAACCCAAGTTTTAAAAAAAATAGTGAATTGAGCCTACAACCCTTTTCTTTCTTTTATTTATTTAAAATACCCAATTTTTTCAAATAAAACCCGATGACTAGGATCCAAGTAAGCAAGTTACCTAATCTAGCTTAAAATCTGATTTATTCTATTTTTCGGATTCCAAAACAAGCCCTATTTACAAGTTAATGTGTTATGTGGTGGTGTAACTAATGACACACTTTGAATTTGGAAAGATCTTCAAATTGTTGTAATGGATGTATGAATTAATTTAGAAACTTATTCAAAATTAAATATTAAATTCAACATTAACATATTAGGAAAGTTTTGGTTTATTTAATAAAAAAATTGTTGTCTTCCTTTTATGAATTATACTACTAGTAATCTATTTCATAATAGTTTTATGAATAATAGCGTACATTGTAATTATGTTGAAAAATATTTTGATAATATATTTATTGTTTGTTTTATAAAAAAAATTAAATTAAATGAACCTATTTTTTCTCTAAATAATGTACCCTTTTTTCTCTAAATAAAGTACCTATTATTTGTTTTATGAAAAACAATTTTTTTTAAATGAACCTATTTTCTCTCTCGAAATAATGTACCTATTTTTTCTCTAAATAATATACCTATTTTTCTCTAAATAATGTACCCTTTTTTTCCTCTAAATAAAGTACCTATTATTTGTTTTATGAAAAACAATTTTTTTTAAATGAACCTAT